CTGTTCACCCGGCCGGGTTGTTGTGGGGCTGGGGGTATCCGTGGGGTCCCTGTTCACCCGGCCGGGTTGTTGTGGGGCTGGGGGCGTGCGTGGGGTCCCTGTTCACCCGGCCGGGTTGTTGTGGGGCTGGGGGCGTGCGTGGGGTCCCTGTTCACCCGGCCGGGTTGTTGTGGGGCTGGGGGTGTCCGTGGGGTCTCTGTTCACCCGGCCGCGGTTGTTGTGGGGCTGGGGGTGTCCGTGGGGTCTGTAGTGCAGCCAGGCCTTTCCGCAGACATTGAGATGCCCGGGGGACACTCGGTGCCAGCCCCGGGGTGTCTGTGGGGCTGAGGGGCAGGCCGCCGCCCCGCAGGCCCCCCGTGCCCCACGGCGCTGAGCGCCCGCCCCGCTCCACCACCCTAGGTCTTTGTGCTGCTCTTCATYTTCGTCAAGCGGCAGATCATGCGCTTCGCCATGAAGTCCCGCCGCGGCCCCCACGTGCCCGTGGGGCAGCACGCGCCCAAGGTGGGTGGCTGCGTGGCCCCACGGCGGGATGCGACTCCCCGGGCCCACAGAGCTGCCCATTGACCCCCTCGAACCAGGGGGCCCCACTGTGGGGAGCAGTTTCCCCCCTCACAGACCCCAGAGAGCGAGCGCTCCGGCACTTCTTCCCTCTGGATTTCTTTGTGCAGGACCTCAAGGAGGAGATCGACACGCGGCTCTCGAGGGTGCAGGACATCAGGTACGAGCCCCGGCTGCTCGCCGAGGACGACAGCAGGCTCCTGCAGCTGGAGACGCCAGGTAGCCGCTCCCGCTCCTGCCCCGCGGCTCCGTCCCCGCTGGGGCTGGCACCAGGGGGTCGCGGGCTGCTCCGCGGCGTCCCCCGCTGCGCCGCGCTCCCAGCTGCTGCCTTGTCCCTTGCAGGCTGCTATAACTACCTGTACAGGATGAAGGCTCTGGACGCGATCAGGACGTCAGGTGAGACGGGCGACAGGGCGAAACGAGGGCTCCGTGTGGGAGCCAGCCGGCGTCAGCTGCCTCTGTTGCGTCTCTTCCAGAAATCCCGTTTCACGCCGAGGGCAGATACCCRAAGTCTTTAATAGGGAAGAACTTCTGTGCCTACCTGTTGGAGCTGCGCAACTCCAGCACCTCCTTCAAAGGCATCCGCAAAGCCTTGATCGACACCTTGCTGGACGGCTACGAGAGCGCCCGTTACGGCACCGGGGTAGGTGCCGGGCCGCGGCAGCGCCGGGCGGCACCTGGATAGCGCCGGGTCCTGGAGCGTTTTCCATTCGTGCCTAGGTCTTTGGGCAGCCGGAATATCTGAAGTACCAGGAGGCTCTGAAGGAGCTGGCRAATGTGTAAGTGTCCGCGCTGGCGGGGTCGATCGGGGGCAAACGCAGCCCTGGAGGGTTGGGCTCAAGGGACAGGCTGCTGGGGGGCTCTGTGCTGCAGCGAGAGCCGCGGGCAGCGCCGGCGCCTCCTGCTCCTTCCATAACGTCCCTCTCCGGCAGGACCCGGGAGCGGGGAGGCGGCAGCCAGAGGCAGCACCAGTCGGCAGCCAAGGACCTCACTCTGTCCCCCGAAGTTTCCAACCCCGCCACCATCCAGGTCACCTACCTGCCTTCCAGCCAGAAGAGCAAGCGTGCCAAGCACTTCCTGGAGCTGAAGAGCTTCAAGGACAACTACAACACGTTGGAGAGCACCCTGTGAGGCGCACGGGCCGGGGACGGCGTTGGSGACGCGGCGGCTCCGCGATGGCTCCGTGTTGGGACAGCGGCCGCCTGCGCGGGGACGTCCCCGAGGCGGCRGCTCCCCGGGCCCTGTCCCTGCCGACGGACTGACCGGCTTCAGCTYGTGGATAACAGACCCTGTCCTGTCCCGGCCCCACGGCCGCGTCTGCTGGCCCTGCCACCCGCTGCCCGTCCCTTCCCAAGGGCCGACGTTCCCGTTTCCCGTGCTCAWCCGGGACTCCAAGTCACTGTAAATAGTGCGGGGCCGGCGGCTGAGCTGCCCCGGGGCTGCGGTTTCCACCTCTCCCTGCGCCGGTATTTGGGGACATTGGGGACAGACAAACACCAGCTTTGCCGCCCTCTCTGCCACCTCCCCTGTCACCAGCGCCCGCTGGGCACTCTGGCCTGAGGAGAGGGCTGCAGGTGGCGGCGGGGCCGGGCCGGCCCCGTGGGGGGACCCGCAGCCCCCGGCTCGAGGCCTGCGGCGCTGCCCGGGCCCCCCTGCCCTTTTTAGCGGCTGTTTAATAAAGCGCCGGTTCCCCGAGGTGCTGTGTGCGCTGCGCGGCCCTCACCGCGGTGCCCGGCCGCGGCTCCCTGCTCCAGGCTTCCCGCTCCCCTCCTGCCTCTCCCGCCTTGGTTCTTCACTGCTCCCTCTCCCTCCGTGCTCTTCCCTGCTCCATCTCCCTTGCCCTTCCCGCTGGAATCTGGTCCAAATAACTG